TGAAAAATTCATCAACCCCTAAAACCACCCCTAACGCGATCGCCCATAACTTTTACCCTAATTGTCCGATTTCAAAAATCTAAAAGCCGTTTGATAGGAAATTTTACGTACTTTTAAAGTGAAGATAACTCATTTTGTCGAAAACCCCAAAATAAGTGAGATTTTGGGGGATTTTGGGGAAAAAACGTGATTTTCCGCCATTTTTTCAAGATGGCGGCCATTTCCGGTCAAAATTTTTGTTGGCAAACATCAGATTCGGATTCAGCGACCCAAATTACTTAGGAATCCGTCTTACTTTTTTCTCCTCAGATTTTCGCAAAATAAAATGCCAGATTGACTGGACTAGTATGCATTTCATGTATATAGAGCATGATTTGAGGATTTAATTCTCAATAATTTCCATTAGAATCAAAATCACATGACATTGCTTCAAAATCAAATTATTTACATCTAAAATGGTCTGAGTGCCAGAACTCTTGGGCCTACCGTTCACCTACCTTCTTTTACATGTATCATAAAATTGACAAAAATTAATAGAAAAAGCACCAAGTTGCATCAAGTTTGAAATTTTATTCCTACAAAAAACTTAATGTCCAGGGCAAAGAAAGTCTATTTTCATGTTCATAATATTTTTCTTCAGCTTCAGCAATTTTTAGCAAAAGAAAATTCGCAACTGGATTGAAACCTACCCCTAACTCATAATTTTCTAAAAACGACTCTGTTAGACTTGATACCATTTTGAGTGCTGAAGGCTTAAACTTTTTACCAATTAACAGCTTATCCAGAAGACAAGAGATGGTATTTTAAAATGATAAAGATACCTCCAAAGAAAAAACCTTGGGATAAAAATTGATTGTGTCCAAGTGTCTGAAGGCAAAATTGATAGTCAAATGATAGAACTTACACAAATTTGAAAGGACTATTGGTGATCAGGAACAGCTTTTTCTTAGCATCAACTAGCCGCTCGAAAAATTCACGTAGGTCTGGATTCGTTTCAACATATTTTGCTGTATCCTGAGAAACTAACTGGTGCATAACTCCATGTCCTGCTCCGACTGAGCTCTTTAGATACCAAATCAGAAAATTAATAGGATGAGATTAAGAGGGAATAGGAAGGTCTCCATGTTATCTGAGATCTGCTTATTTACCAGTCAATGATCACATGTCGACTAAGGAAGGATATTTAACATGCTATGAGTCCTGATGAGTGAAAAACTACATGTAGTTGCAGTTTTCTAAAATTCATTTGAGCATTGATAGTATATTCTCAACTTATTCTAGAAGATAATTTTACTCATTTTTATTTCTTCATATAAATAGGAGTTGTCTTCGATACAATATTTATGTTTAAAAGGTTCCTTTACAAAGTTAAATCTATCTGGTCAAGCTTAGATTCTATCACGTATGGAAAAAGTTCTCCGCCTCCAGATTGCTGTTCACATAAGGCAACTTTTCCTTTACATTTTTTTAGACTGCCTTTACACTGCTCTATACATTAGACTGCGCCATTCACATTTCCTTAACATAATTGAATCACACAGTTTACTTCTAAAAAAAAAATAATGCTCCTTATGGTTTCTTTCAAAAAGTGGCACATTCATATTAAGAAATGATACTAAAATTTGAGAAGGAAAATCCCACATGCCCTCTGCCTTCACATTGATATTCTCTTATCAGTTTTTTTTTTCTCTCTCTCTTTCTTAAAATTGTGTTAAATTTAACACAACTTTTTGGGCCAAAATTTAAAATTAAAAAAGGGCATTGTAGTGCACTAATTTAGGCTTTGTCACTTGGGAAAAACTCAAAAATATGACTCATTGATGTACTTGCAATAACCCATACTATGGCCTTGAATTGCAATGAATTGAGGAATTTTCGGATACAGTGATTCATCATAGAGGTCTACAGGTTATAGATGCAAAATGCTTTCGACTTCTTTTAATAGCTACGAAAAAATGAGAGTACGATTTTTCTAAGGGAGACTTATTTGCGCAGGAGATATTGATCTGTACAAACTGGTTCATTATTTCTGCCTAGATCAGAAGAGAATGGGTCAGTTGCGCTGGTCACAGAATCGTGTTTTGATGCTTGATTCTTGTAGATTAGCTACAAGTAATAAGATCTGTCCAAGCTGCAACTTTTTACGTTCAATATTAATCAAGATATCGCCCTTAGAAAACAGTGGCGTGGCGTGCTATACGATACATCGATCGTTATGCCATTTAAACCTATGGAAAAGGATCGATAAACAGGGTGTTCGCAGCGAACACCTTAATAATCGATCTTTTACCATAGGTTTAAATGGCATAACGATCAATACATCGCAATTCACGCCACGCAACTGTTTGAAAAGTAGATTTTTTTTAAATCATCCACAGCGGTAGTGACGCCCTTGGTTTCTTCCACTTTGCTTTCATTAGTCAGTGTGATGCACATTTGCACCAGTTACTCAACGTGAAACTTGGATGAAAGCAAGATGAAAGAAACCAAGGGCGTCACTACAGCAGTGGATGACGTCAAAAACCCAACTTTTCAAAGGGCGATATCTCGGTTAAAATTGAACATAGAAAGTTGCTGTTTGGACAAATTTTATTATTTTTAGCTGCTCTACAAGAATCGAGCATCAAAGCACAATTCTGTTACCAGCGCAACTGACCCATTGATCTTTTCACTAATTAAAGAACTCATGCCGTAAAGTCTTCATGTAAAAATCCAATTCATTAGATTAACCATTTACATTCCTTACCTTTACATCCCTGAATAATATTTCGGGATGATAATCGATATGCCGATCTTCGAAAAAGTTGGCAACATTACACAGCAGACACATCTCTGGAACTGAAAATAAGTCCGCTAACTGCACCATCTTTGTAGCCAGATCCTGAAAAATGAAAAATAAAAGTGAACTGACACACTCTGTGTTAGATAATATAGTCGATTTAAAAAGTGACTTGACACAACCCTATCATTCTTTGTCTCCTCGATTTTGGAAATTGAACTGCTCTGTATTTCAATCAACCATTCTAATTTCTTCGATCAATGGAAGTATTTCAAAGACTTGACAAAGAATTGGTATTAAATTGAGTTGATTGGGGGCCGTTCTTCAATCAGTTGGTCACCAATTGCTTAAATTTATAATTTTCCTAAAAGTTTATACCACTTTTCTTTAAAATTTTCAGGGAATTATTTCAATTAATTTTTCCAAGGATTTCGAATTTTGAGGCTCACATTTTGTCTCTTGCTAGATTGGTTTAGTGCCGCGTCAGGCCAAAGTAAACAGACACACAGCCTCATTTTATTCAGACCATGGTGGAAGAATGTATCCAAGTGTTTCTGGCAATGTAAATTTCTCCGGCTTAATAAGTCATTAATTGCTTCAGGAGTTGTATCGTAATGAAGAATCTTTCTTTTCATTTAAATAACCTGAATTTAAAAATATCATAACTAAGTTGTACAAGAACTACATGCCTTTGTATCTGTCTGCATTAATTAAATTCCCAAAAGTTATAGGATAAAAGAACCATCTTCAAAAAGGATTTTATGATCTAAAGTTGTGGTTGGAACATTGAAAATAAATACATTGAACATTGTAAAAAAGTTGTGGCCACTAAATCAGACTATTTAGGAGTCTGCCTTCGTTAAAAAACGGGTATTTCCTGTTTTCTCAGGGGTCAATAATTTTCCAAACCTTCCAGGATATGCTAGGTCATCATTCAGTTCAAGAAAAACAATAAATTTTTTTGGGTCTTGAATTAAATAAGACCCGAAAACAGAAACGCTTACTTGTAACATAATCATTGTATTACATTTATTAAATGATTGAGATTCACAGTAGGAATAATGCCACAAAATTATAATTTTGCTGGAATGTAGTGAATTTTTTTTTTTCTTGCGGCTTTCCAAGTTTTCAAGCCATCCTGAATCACGCGATCTGGAAGATTAGCAACCCCTGTGTTTTTTCAGACAGTTTTCATTGAGTGCTGATACTGAGGCAATAGCTGTGTGATTGGCTAAATTAATCAGAGGTTAAAGCTTATGAGCTATAAGAGGTTAAAATGGGTCTCAATACCTCTACTACATTTGGTTTTGTACTCACTTTTTGATCCTTTGTTTCAGTGGGTGGTGCTTACACGATGGCCATTTCAAGCTTTAGCTCATCATTAGGTGTAGGTATTTTCACGAATATTTGCACGTCAATTATAAAACACTAAAAAACAAAAAAGCTTTACAGTGTAGTATTTTAAGTATAATTGACATGCAAATATTTGCGAGAATACCTACACCTGATGATGAGCTAAAGCTTGAAATGGCCATCGTGTGTGGACCACCACACACAGAAACAAAGGATCGGACCTCAAAAAAATGAGTACAAAACCAAATTACTGCAGCCGATAAAAAAAAAAAAAACCTTCAACCTCAAATTTCTACTTCAAGTTAATGTTTCAGACTGTACTGAGCACTGACTCATGGTTTACCTTGGAGTTCTTGTGATGAATGTAGGACTCAGCGTAAGCAATGGGGATTGTTCTATTTTTGTATAATCGTAGCACTTCTTCATCTGGCACAGGTCGTGTGCCTCTGTACACTGTTCCGAGTTGAATTTGCAAGAAGGAGTCTAGTTTCATCAGCAATCCTTTTTCAATATCGTAATGAAGACCTCGAACAGCAAACCCAGGAATGTATTCCAAGTTTCTAACTTCTTCAGGATACTACAGGAAAAAATTAAAAATTACATCAAACAATTTTAATGTGATTTGTCTTTTCCTTTTCTGGCTTTGAGTGTGATCAAGCTGGTGTGCAATACATCGCAACTTTGCGACATCGACCCGCAACATCGACCAGCAAGTCCAAATCTTGGCAGATTTGGACTTTTTAGCCGACAAATTTACAATAAACCCTGCATATGAGTCCATGGAATACTGCAAAATTGTAAAGAGTTGAAATAAAAAATATAACTGCATTTGACCTCTGTATTCAACGCAGTTTTTAATACTCTGATTACGATCTAATTTTTCATGAATGATTCTTTAAACTCATAAGCAGCAGCCCGATTGTTGAAATTTTTTGTTTGTCGGGACGACATAGGTTAAAGGACAAAGCGTGATTGGTCAGCTATGTCTGATTGCTGTTTTGTTGTGCCTTTGTCAGGTGGAACGGACAACATACTGTCAGAGACTTAAGAGGTGCCGTTAGCTTTTCGTGAGTTCAACCTGACATAGGCACGAAAAAGCAGCGATAAGACATAGCCGATTAATCACGCTAAGCCTTTTAACCTATGTCATCTACGTCGTCCCGACAAACAAAAAATTTCAACAATCAGGCTGCAGGGGCTGTTTTACAAAAGGATCTCTGGCCCTTAATCAGCGCAACTCTCACCAAGAGGCTTCCTGAGAGCTGCTTTGTGGAAATAAAAAAATTAGTTCATAATTTAAAGATCCCATGACAGCAAGCTAACCTGGAATTTTTCCCAGGCGTGAAGAATCTTCCAAGCTCCCACAGTTTAACGTGCCCGCCGTATAGCTTTCCACATTTTCCTCTTAAGCTTCCAGCAAAATTTCCACCATTTCCAAAAATTAAGGACCTACTTATGTCCTCTTTTCTCCTTAGATATATGACGGAAGACACTCAAACATTTTCCCTCCTTCCACATATTTGAGGGCATTCCCAAATTTTAACATGCCCAGAGGCAGGTGCAAGATTGAGCATTTTCCGTACCCCTGGTTTTGACCGACTGATAGCTAAAGAAATATGGAATTTTCTTTCCTAGATTTGTAAATAAGACTATAAGAAAGCTACAGAGCTAGTAAGTAGAAGAAAAATGACAAAAAGCAACCTACCTTATACTTGGTTATGAGGTTTTCTCGTCCCAAGTTGTATAGAAGAAAATCCATTGATTCTTTATAGCATGCCAGGGTGTAGTCATAGTCAAATCCATAAACTGAGATTTCTTTGAGGTCAAGCTCATTGCAGGCAAATACTCCTTGAGTGTCAACATTGGGAGGAAGTTTTTTCGCTGAAAGATAAAAATAACTGTTATTCATCAATTATAAACAAAAGTACTTGAAATTACTTACGACTGCTTAATGCATGCTACGCTACTTGAGTGCCAATAGTCCATAGGAGCTTACAAAGTTGATTAAATGGGATTTGTAGCTTGCTGGGATCTCACTTGAGTCGAAAATCGCTGCAGGTTATTCAAGGGTATATCTTCGAGTTATGTCCACAAGACATCGAAAACTTTGACAGCATACGTGAGATGATCTTGGAGTAGCGTATTCACTGACTTTAAGCTGAATTTTAACCCGTAAAACAACTTAAAAACTAAATATAGAACAATGAAAGTGAAGGGTTGAAGAGTGACAAGTGGGTCTTACATTCACACTTTTTCTTGGCTTTAATGTAAGCTTCCGTCAGTGATTCTTGCGAATAAAACTTTTTATCCACATTGAAAAGTCTAAATGAGTTTGCAGATTTAGAAAACTGGTTGAAAACACTATTAATAACATTTTTATTGAGGATGGAACAATTCGGGTAACATAACCTTCTTACGGCACGCATTGCTATGAAAATCATAACAAAAACAAAGAAAATGGACTTCCTCAAATTCCCTGACTAGATACGGAACGTGAACCGTTGCGTGAACATGCCGCCGGCGCGAATTTGAAATAATTTAAATAAAAGGCGCTTTTTTTGAATATGCGCCCGTTTCGCGAAAGTGCGTTGATGATTATTCGTAAAAGCCGCTGCCGCCTTTTGAATCCGAAACGAGCTATGATCAAGACTAACTTTTCGTAGCGCCTACCTATGTTTCTAAAACAGCATATTGAAATTAGTTCGCACCAAGCGCAAGCGTTTTTGAGTAGGAAATAACTTCATAAAAAGTATGAGATACATTTTTGTTTTATTTCTCTCCGCCATTCAAGAATGTACTAAAAAAATATCATACCTTATTGTTGATTTAGGTACGCTACCTAAGATGAAAATATTCCGTACTTAATAATACAACTTTTTGAAACAGCGCAATGCATCAGGTTTGAGTTTTCCAATTTTTACGCGCGGAATTCACTTGTCGGTGGGTAGAGTTAAAAAACGCGTACTTTCAAGGTAACGATTAAAAATCAGATTTTCTTTTAATTTTTTTTTTAAATGAACAAATTATCTTCTTGAAATCTCCAGGAGTAAATATTTGAATAAAAAATTCACAGAAACTCTCAAGAAAAACAGTTGATAGAATTTTCTTCAGGGGAAAAAAATGAATAGGTAAAAAATAAACAATTGAAGTGACATGAGCTGACATTGGCAACGTCGCAGTCTGAAAGACGCATTTTTCAGTTTAAGTTATGGATGTACCGATGAAAGACTTGGAATTATTAACTGATTCCAGAATCGAAGAGAGTCTAGAAAATGGAGAGGTAAGGGTGGAAGTAAATTCAAGCAATTTAATTAACTCCATTCATTAAGAAACATGTAAAAAAGTAAAAATTTCACAAGTTTCGAAAGAGAGTTATGTAGGGCATACGCATTTCCTACGTATTCCAAAATATTTTATTTATTTTTTTAAAAAAGACATTTGAAAAGTCCGATTATTAGTGTGTTGCAAAAGTCTAAGAACTTCTACACAGCCAGAGATCTCAATTTGTTGTGAAAAAAATGGGATTATGCGAATCTTTTACTGCTGTAAACGGAGAATTTTTTACAACGCAAATTTAAACATTTGCTTCGTGTTCATGCTCATGCCTCCTTTACATACAGACATTGGCAAGCAAAAAATACCCCAGGAGTAAAAAAACCAAAACAAACGAACCCAAACCAAAACAAAAACAAAGCGATGACCCTGACCTATAAAAGAGAGTCGCAGAGATCTATGGGAGCTCGAAAAAATGCGACGAGTAAAGAAAGAAAAAAATAAAACGGATCTCAGATCGGATAATTTGAGTCTTTCAAAGTGGCATTGCTCAATTGGGACACGGCTTTATATGCAGGCACCGACTGAAAACCGACTGAATATTAAGAAGGCTAATGTCAAAGAGCCTTCTGCACCAGCATAATTTTTGGCCTTTGACTTTCCCTCGACTACGGGCGCGGGCCGCGGGGGCGTGCATGTCCATGGGAACCGAACTTAACCGAGCTATTGTATCGCTTCATTTCGCCCCCTTCAAACACTTCCTTGTCTCTCTTTCTCTCTCACGCTCTTCGGAGCATTGAAAGAGGAATCAAAACACACTTTACTCCGTTGGTAGTGTTGGAAATTTCTAGCTTTACTTTATTTCTTTTCAAAAAAGCCCCAGGCATTTAGGGTAGCTGTACACCACTCATGGGTGGGACGGAAGGGGGGGGGGATAGCTGCCCTCAGAAATCTACTTGTTCCTCCCAAAAGATGTGGAGGATTTTACTAAGTGAGTGTGTGACATATTTTTCATCCTTGGAGTTGTAATTCGTTCAATATTTCCGGTAAGAACAGTTTTTAACCCGCTTTAGAGCTAGGGAGATCCCTGGAGCCTACGTTTGGAAATGAGATAGTCGTCCCCCTCCCCATCTAATCCCCCATAGGTCTTAATTGGAGGTTTGTCACCCACATAACTTTTGAAGCATGGCATTCAGGCTTACAGCATTATACCTGAAAATGAATTTATCTTAATTTTTTTAACAGAATGTACAGATGGAAGCGGTTTTTTTTTTGAAAGGTATGCCTGTTCTCATTTTGGGTCAAAATACGTTTTTCCTGAATATCATTCCACTTAACGATACGTTTCCTTCAGCGAAAATAAAGGGCGAAAATAATGCCAACGAAAATTCAAGGGTTTTAGGGGGTCTGTTTTTTCCTTTTTTTTTCTAATCGTTTTTGCCGTATCACTTACATGTTTCCTTAATAACTGTTTTGAATAAAGTATTGCGTAACACAACAGAATTTCAAAAAAAAGAAAGGAGAAAGATTAGTTAGTATTTTTCGACGAAAAATATGGATTTGATTGGAAAAAATGATGTTGACGATGGACGATGAACCCCAAACTCCATTCACACTTATGAGGATGAGAGAAACAATCCAGACTTCCAAGCACAATCCTTTTTTTTTTTTTTTTTGCGAGTATGGACTGAAAATGTTAATTTTTTAGGAAGTCAGTAATTATCTACCTAGTCATAAAAATTATTTTTGAGGAAGAAATTAATTTCTTCATCTTAAATGTCGAATAAAAATCCAGACCAAAAAAAAAATGATGTTCTCATGATAGATCTAATCTTTCGTGTACTGCCGTGCTAAGGAAAAACGCCATACGAGCCATCAGGAGTCACCAAATTTCCCTTCATAAACCATTAATTTTTAAGGAAAGTTACGAATATTTTTCCTTGAAATTTTCAAATCCTCCTATTCAAATTGCTGGTGAAATTCTCTGAAAAATTGGAAGAAAAACAACCAACAGTTTCCTCGGAAATTCGTATTATATCGAAGGCATTTGGCAACGCCTGAAGGCTTATACGGCGTTCTTCCTTAGCACGGCAGTATACCTCTGTATGCATTATCTCACTTAATGATACGTCCTCTTCACGTCTCATTGTCAGTTCCGTTTAGAATCTCTGCATGTGTCTTCCTCAATCGCCGAGAAACGTTTCCAAAATTAAGAGCGATTATCACAAAGAGTAAGTAAAAGGGCGCTGATAACAGGTTGATCGTGCGTCTGTACAGTTGTGTCCAGACGAAAGGTGAGAAAATCTTCGAAAAATGATGTTTCAGCACAAAAGTATTATCGGATGTTTTGTTTTCCACCGCGACCCGGATCACGTCTAGATCTCTCGTTAACCTCCTCGACAACGGCCACACAGGAGAGATCGAGTACTTACTTCAGCGAATTTTCAAGATCTAAAGAAATGTGACGTCATCTTTTGAAATAGATATCGATGATCGTTTCGGATCGCACCCACAAAAGAGATTGGTTGAACGGAATATACGTTTTTTCAGTTATAATCAATTGACCAGCGTTAAAAATATGAACTAATTAGACTACCAGATCCGCTATTTGAGACTCGCTTTACAAACAACTTATCAATTTCCAATGTGCAAAACTACGTATCCCCACTGCGACGTCCTATAATTTTCTAAATCTCATTTTTTTTAGGGAGAAACAAGCCAATATCTCACTCTCACAGCTGAAAACGTATGCAGAATAAGCCTTCTGACAGGGAGGGAAATCAAGGAAATTCTCAAGAAATTAAACTTTGACTGATTTTCAGAAGAAAAAATAAAGTATGACAGGGATTTTGCAACGTCGCAAATGGAGATACGTGGTTCCGCACTTTGGTCACCGATGTGCGCCATGTGTTATTAGTTTTCTTATGCAAAGGTACGTGAATTGCAATAAGTTTCAGTAAATGGGGCCCCTTCAAATAGGAGCTAGGCAACATACACAACACTCAGTTGAATAGCAATATTTACATTATGTAATTACTACGTATTGCAATCTGTGCTACTTGGGGCCCTTTTGACGGTCACATCTTCATAGCTGAACTCGAAAAATGCGTTTTCCAGTTTGCGACGAAAAGTGAAAATGCTTTTATCAGTTTGCGACGAAAAGTCTCCGATCATGTTTTATTTTTTGAGTGAATATCAACCAACATAATCATGTATTCTAAGTGAATCATAGAAAACTTCAAGGAACCATTTTGGTTAGTTTACCTTGCAGAGAAAAAGACATATAATCGGAGGTTTTTAAAACGCTTAAATTGAGATACATCTTTTTCGCGTTTAGCCATCGATACATGACGAGCAGAAATTCAAAACCTGGCGAGCGTCATCAGGTTATTGCTAAAATATGCATGTCGCTCCTCAGCGTAAAAGATCCTAAATGCCCCGTCTTCAAGAGGAAATTTTCTCTAAATTTGGTCTATTAGAAACTTAGAACATAAGGTATAGCAACACCTGATAACACTTACAAGATTTTGAATTTCTGCTCTGAATATATAAAAAAAAAAAAAATCACACTTCTACAGCTTCGTGTTGTTCTCACCTGAAAATTTCAGTTTCGCACGGTTCAATAAAAAGATTCTCAGGTTTTGACGTTACTTATTTATGTTTTTCATGTGTACTGTTCAGCTAGAAACTAGAAAGCACAACTCGAAAAGGAATGGGGAAGCAACTTTTGAAAAACTCATTTCCACACCACCTTAGGAGAGTCCGATCAGGAAAATGATACGGTACTGCTCCTGGAGGTAGAGCTTTCGGCGCGCTTTTTTTAACGTGGTGTCGCCATGAGCCCTAATCCACGGGGGAGGGGGAGGGGGGGG